GCTGGGGTTCCGGGGAGCATCGAAACCATTGTCTTCATTGGGTGATGCACATGCACACTTGATGCATTTTAGCACGATGCCGAGCAAGCCATCCGATCCAAGCCGTCAGGAGATAGCCGCCATCATCACAGCAGCCACACCCCGCAGCGGTGCAGGCAGCAGTGGTCTTCCCACCCCTCGCACTCCACTCCCTCACCAATCCTTTCAATTCGGACAATCCCTCACCTTGACAGAACCATACGCACCGGCACTAGCCATATACCTGCCGCCGGTGCTCGGATCGACGCTGACGCTGACGACGGGGCCGAGGTGGGCGAGGAGCTGGACGGCGGGCTGGGGGAGGTTGGGCGTCCAGAGACTGAGGGTGCCGTTTTGGTGGCCGAGGTAGAGGACGGCGGTGTGGGCGTTTTGGGTGAGGGTGGTGCAGGGGCCGAGTTTGGTGCGGTGTTCGACGAGGAGTTGGCCGGTGGAGGTGTCTTGGTATTTGAGGTAGCCTGCGTTTCCCTAGTGGATGGGGTGGTGAGTAAGGGGGAGGGAGAAGGGAGGGGAGGGGGGACGTACTACGCTGGCGAGGAGCCAGTGGTAGGGGAGGAACTCGAGTCGGGTAGGCTCGACGTGAGATTTTAGACGGTGCAATTCGACGCCATCGCGATCGTAGATGAAGACGTATTTTTTCTGTGCGACTGCGAAATGTGACTGGTCGTGCAGGAAGCTGCGACAAAGAGCTGAGGATATCATCAGTGGCAATAGAAAGATGCCCACGTACGTGATGTCGCGACAGGTTTCCTGGAGTTGCAGTTCTGTGTGCAGCGTGCCTGTTTTGCAGTCGAATGTAGCTACATGGCCAGCTTTTCCAGCGATGGCGAGGTGTCTGGTGGAGGCGTCAGCATCGGTAGTCGCAGATGGAAAATGCTCTCTTTGTCACGGAGAGAAGGCGCACCTTCCGTTCCTCGTATATCTAGTTCTGTATGGACCGCCATCCAAGATCCACTCCTGCCTGCCCTTTGCGGCCTCCTCGCCCGCCCCTTGGGCAATGTCGCGCTGGCCCACCCTCCAGGTCCTCTCCATCTGGCTCTCAACGTGCATCCCGCCGTTGTCCTCCTTGAACAAGAGCTCCGCGTCGTGTATGAGGGACTTTGTGCGTGCGGCATGGTGGGCCTGGCGGGTGAGCTGTGAGCGGAGATTTAGGTTTTTGATGTGTTTGTGGGTGGGTGGGAGGGGGAGGAGGGGCGGAGGGACTTTGGGAGGGCGGTGTGGGGTGCGATGGA